GTGCTCACTTCCTGAAGTTGGTTTGGATTATGCTCTCACCCTCAGTGAGTCACACTGCAGGTCTCTTGTTAGAGCACGGAGACTAACATTTTCAATCATCTAGAGTGAAGACATTATTGGATGCCACCAGAGTTTAGCAGACCTCAACAGACAAAGACAATGAGGTAAAAATGCTAATTCTCTCTTCTAATTTGAGTTTGTTTACATCTGTGGCTCATCCTCTCATTTTTGGAGATAAAGAGTAGTTGGACAAATTAACATAAATATAAATAGTCTTCACATTAGATATTTAAATATTTAAATCCCTGATAATGCTCTGTCAGGCCCGTTCTCCAGCCAGCTTCACTTCTTGCTTGTTTAATGGGTTTTTCAATAAACTAAAATGATAGCTATTGAAAACTCTTTGGTTGCCTTTTCTTTATGTTTTGGGTAATTGGTCCGGGGCTATGCATAAAAAGGGATACAATTCCTTTAACACCCTTCAAGATGGAGGTGAGCACTTTGACCTCGTAGTCATTGTTTTATTTCAGGTCTAATGTGCTACAGGTGGAGCCAAAACAATGAAGGCATGTCAGGGTATGTTATGCTGAGACACATTGGAGGTAATTTCAAGCAATTCTGGACTTCATTTTATACGACATGCATCACAGCAGGAGGGTTTAGGTGAACTGATTTTAGAATAAAACATTTCTTTCCCGTGTTTTTCTTTCCACAGTCACATGTGAGTCTGTTGATTGTGTAGAAGAAAAAAAGAAATCAAGCATTGCCAAAGTCAGTGCATAATGATTTGTTTTCAGGAAGGCTTGATGTGCTTTGTGATTTTTCAAAGATAAATCACTAAATATGTGGATTAAAATATAAGCACAAACACTACTAGTAACTTCCCTTTAGAAGAGAATAAATTATTTTTCAACAGAGCAAATACAGAATATTCAGATTGCAGAATTTTAGTTAATATTTGCGTATAATATTTAAAAAAATCTTTCAAAAGCAGGATTCAATATTTGAAAATTGTTACTTTATTTGTGAGTAGAATGATCAATAAATTCAATCTAACACTTAATTTGATGCAGATCAGATTAGGGTCTCCTATTTTTTAGATGATGTGTTTCTTGTTTTGGAAGTGAACATTTAATGATATAAAACATTCGCTGTAAATGGTGCAGTCTATTGAAGTACACACAGGAGCTCCAGGCTGCAGATTTGTGAGGAGTTATTGACGTCACAGGCAGAGCTGAAGTTATCGTCAACTAAATAGAGATCGACAACCATGCTGCTGCAGCATTTTCAGATGTTCTAAAATTAGAAACCTGAAAATAAAATCCTATTTACACAAATGGCACCAGGAATGATCAAAAACAGTTATCCCGGTAATTTCTGGTTTATTCTCCCTGTCTTCAGTTTCCCACTAAACCATAGCAGGTTTAGTGGTAGCTTTAAGTCACACTTGCGTAACAAATCATCAGTGTGTTGAGGAGGGGTCGGTGTTTCTTCATTATTTAGCAAGCTTCTCTCTGTTCCTTCATGTAAACTGATAGGCCGGAGCTCAGAGGAGGGTGCGCTTGTTTTGTTTGCGCTTTATTCCCTGAGAGTTCTAGTGTTCCACTGCAGCTGAGTCGAGATAATAGTCTAAATATAGAGCAGGGCGCAGGGACTCAAAGTCCTGTGGGCTCAAGTCATTGTGCTCTCAAGAGTCGACAAGCTTTCCTAAATCATTTTAGCCCTTGTATCCTGAAAGTCTTGTAGTTCAGTGGTAGCGATTGTGGCTACATACCAGCAAATGTTGGGAGTTTGAGTCAAGCGGCTGATTGTTTGCTGCTGAGGCAGTTCGGGGGTTTGAAAAGTTGAATTATGTAACTAATCAATGATAAGTTTCTTATGCCGTGCAAACACAGCACAGATTAAGCCACATTTCCAAAGCGGTTGCACCCAACTTATTTTAGAATCAGTTTAAAGGGGGGTCACAATGCCTGCATAACTTTCCAACCGATTTCAGGCAAGTCAGAAATGTTGGCTGTTCATGGTTTGAGCATTTCCATGGTCTGATTTCCCACGTCTGCTGGCAAAAGATCCCTTACCTTAACTGTAGTCAGCCTGTTTTAAAATAACTTGTAGTATTTTGCAGGTTGAAACTAACTGAGGTGTAACTGAGACTGAGACTGTGCTGTGATGCGAATAAAGCTACACATCACTGCAAAACAGACCACAACATACCAGACCATTTTGTCCTCTTCCCATCCATCAACAGCTGTTGTCTCTTCTTGCTTCTTTCTGTTCATAGTAGAAGTGCACAAAGTGAAGCTGCTTTTCCCTTTGAGGACGCAGTCGTCCTGTTTTTATAAACCATACTGGAGTTTAGTGGTTACGTTCAGTGTGAGCATCCCTGGCGTAACTGGTCAAATGATAACACAATGTACAAGATTAATAAAAATGTAGAGTCTCTGCAGCACAGTCTTGTTTAGAAAGACAATACTTCATACAAAGACAGGTCTGGATGTTAGACTCATATTTTTGACTTTTGGTCATGTCCATCAAAATGAAATACATCACCCAAGTCTTCTCCAATACACCACACCTTATTCCTCAAGCTATGTTGCCTTCATGAGGGTGGTGATAACTATCCCTCACCGCTCTGGTGAAGGCAGACATTGGAGCAGGGTTGTGCTGAGACTGCAAAGTGTTTAATTCTTAATGGACTTATACTGGAACTGACACTGGGCTGCATCTCGCTAACATTTTACTCACCACCACTGTTGTTGAGATTTGGGAAACAGACTGAGGCAAAAAGTGTTAGGCTCCTACAGCTTCCTAAAAAAAAAAAAACTTTAAAGGAGCTATTTGTAAGTTTTGCTATTTTGCTACATCGCCAGCGTTAGCATTAACAGCTGTTTACTTATTAGTCTAGAAGAAACGTTGCATGTTCAGCGTCAAACTTCATTCCTTTACTCACCAGGAGTCTCTAGCCGTGGAAAGCAACACCAATGTTAACTCTTGTTTCTATCGCAACCCTCAGCCTGTCTTGTCACTTTCTGATAGCGACTCACTGAAGCCTCCAATCTTCCCTGAAGACTTAGCACTGCTCAGATTATTATAGCGGGTTATAGCCTCTTGTCTTGATAACGCAAGAATGGCTGAAACTCTTGTCAAGCAACAATCACCACCACTCACTCCTGGCAAAAAACTTGACAAAAACTTCTGAATAGCCCCTTTGATGACTGAAGTCTCCAACAGTTGGCTTTGAATGTATCTGAAAGCAAACACAACATTATCCCCTGAAAATCTTCAGTGTGTATCTTTTGTGGCAAACTACACAGAATAACACACACACGTCTCGGCTGCCTTTCCAACTGATGAAACCACCTGCCATAGTTGTTGTGAGTGTGTATGTTCCTAGAGCTAAAGTTACCACAGTCATATTCTGTACTTACTCATTAGTGGTGTCAGTGCTGGTGTAGATGTCAGGCTACATCTTTCCTGGACTGTAACTTTAGCTGTAAGTATGAGACTCCTGCCATCAACCACATTTGCAAGACCTGTGCAGACCAAGCGATCCACACAGTTACTAGCAGCTCTACCTGGGTCTCAGCGCATCTGCTATCACATCTCTCCGCTCTTCCTCCATCGAATGGTAGCACCACCGGTTTGACTTTTGTTGATCACCCAAATGGCAAAACAACCTGAAATAATGCTTTGGGATAAAATAGCCCACTTAAGACTGATGATGTTGACTTTAAAATACATGTCCAGCTGGTGAATATCAAACTCCAAACTAACTTCAGCTTGGTGCTTAGCCTGCGGCAGCTTGCACCGCCCTGCATGCGCAATAAATTATTCCTCACACATCCCCAGCTGATTGTGACTGATTGAGCCATTTGCCTCCAACATTTGACCAAATGGAGAAAACTCAGATGGGTTTTCTCTTTTTCCCCTGACATTGCAATATGCTGGTTTGATTAATTACCTTGAAGCAAATGAGCAATGTTCAAGCCTGACTAGTTAATCAGTATAATTTGTTATACTTAGTCTAAAAGATACTGACAGAATCTCATCTTTTGTCCAAATATTCATTAAATGTATGACCTTTTCTGTGTGAAACGATGCCTCTGCTGTTTTTTTTTCTTGGGTTTCTTGGGTTTAATTTTATAAAAGTGTATTTTTTTGCTCATGAATTTAATGGAGATGGTCATTAATTCAGAGAGGGGAGGCTGCCTTTGCTAATATCCAGGAAACCCCAGCATGCTCTCCAGGCAGCCCTGTCTCCTATAAATTATGTTTACACAAAACTAATCTGCAACAGCAAATATGTTTTGTGGGAAACATAATTGCAACCAAATTACTTTTTCTATTAACATAATGAGGAAATGTTGTCAATTTAAATATTTGGACAAGTTGCAATTTTGTTGATACTGACTAAAATGTGGTAATCAGTTATGTTTTTTTACCAGGTTTCAGTAACATCTTATTATATCCCAAGACAATGTTTGATTACGATCAAGTCCTGCAAGCTGGCACCCCAGTTTGTAGATCCATTCACCATCACCAAGGGATTCAGACTATTTAATCAATACCACATCTGCAGGTTGCAGTCCTTTATCACCTTGCTGTCTATTTTCTCAATCATTTTGTTTGCAAAATGTTGTGAAAAACATCTTGTAATTTCCTGTAACCCAAGGAGATGCAGTCCATAGCCCAAAGATCCTGAGTTTAATACCATGCACTATTGTATGATATGGAAAAGCAGGAAATCTTCACATTAGAAAAACTTTTTGTGCTTGAAAAACAATTAATCAATTATCAAACTAGTTGCCAATGAAATCTCTTACCCTGAAATGTTTAGCACTTTGCTTCAAAGAGTATTTTAGGAGTGAATCAAACAAGAAATTCAAATGTGTAGCTTCTGGAAAGGTCACTGTCATCCATTGTAAAGTGCTCCCTCATTTAGAGGTCACAGCAGTTCTTTGATTAAAATGTTTATTTTTCTCCTTTGTCTCTATCCATAGATGGCATCGGCAACAGCAACCTACGGGCAGAAGGAGTCCTCGGACCAGAACTTTGACTACATGTTCAAGATCCTCATCATCGGAAACAGCAGCGTGGGCAAAACCTCCTTCTTGTTCCGCTACGCCGACGACTCCTTCACCCCGGCCTTTGTCAGTACGGTGGGCATCGACTTCAAGGTGAAGACCATCTACAGGAATGACAAGAGGATCAAATTACAGATCTGGGTAAGACATCTGGATATTCTGAGTTCATGGACAGAAGTAAATGAAACTAAAATCTATAATTTAAATTTAGATGCACTTATCCTGTGAATGTTCTGCTGAAGCTCGAGTTGGACGAGTGTGTAAATTAATGTTTTTACTTAACAGTCGAATAGAATTAATGAAAATATCATAATAGAAATTGGAATCTGCAAACATACTGAAAACCATTTTATATTAACAGGAACTGATACATTATGAGTGACGCTGTGATTTTTTGAGCAGTGAGCAGCCACTCCACTTCCTTTGTACAGTGCGTTGTGAATCAACAACACACTCAAAAATCAACGGTGTTTGCTACACATACTGTCTGGTTTGAGTATACTTTGTATACTGCCTACTCAAAACCTGCTCATAATTAGTGTGCAGTATGGATTTGGGACACTCTGTTAGACCTGGCCTATACATAAAGCACACAGCATACATGTTGCTCCATAAAATATAATGCCCCTTTTGGTCTGTGGAGATTTGTGTTGAGCAAAACATAAGCATCACCTCTGAAACTTAAAAATCAGCTTCAAAAACATTTCTGATGTCGTAACTACAGTTAACTTACAATTAACATCCGCAAGTAACTACACAAACCTGAAGCAACACATGTAATATTCCAATTACCTTAACTGTCTGTCAGCAAACAGTGCTCAGTGAGACACGAAATGATCTACATAAAGTACATAACTTGAGAGAGCATGGTTCATCGCCTTGTTCGTAGTAACTCATGAGAGCAGAGTGTGAAGGTGGAAACAACTTGTCCCATTGGTCTTCTTCACTGTGATGCACAAGCTCGTTGGGCAAACGTTCTTCTGTTTCCCACATTACACCATTACCTGCAGCAGGTTAACAGTGTCCCGTGGCTAGCTGCATTTTAACATATGACCTTTGGGTCAGTCCAACTTTTTTTCCTGTGCTTCCACCATGTTCCAAGTGTGTTGGTCTTTTCTTTCCTCTGCGTTTGTGAGATAATAGAGAAAAAATATTTGCTGGTGCAGTTTTGTTATATAATGTACGTAATTAGAGACATGGTTGCCATAATGACTGGTTTTTCACCCCATCTTTTAGTGTGTGGCCTTTCTGGTACAGATACTCACACTACTGCATTTGGTGACGAAAAATATAAACCTAACACAAGCTCTAAGAATTTTTCTAAGCACACAAAAAGTTTCTTTCTCTGTGTTAGTGAGCATTTTTCCTTGTGCCAAGATAATCCATCCACCTCACAGGTGTTGCATATCCAGATGCTGATTACACAGTATGATTATTGCACAGGTGTGCATTGGGCTTGTCACAATAAAAGGCCACTCTAAAATGTGTAGTTTTATTTTGATAAAAGGCACCAAACTATGGGTTTCACATGACTTGTGAATGTGCATATTTTTGGGGGGAAGGGTTGTGGATCAGAAAACTGAGTTGATCAGGGTGTCGATTACGTCCTGTGGAATCTTGACCCACTCCTCTTCAATGGCTCTCCAAATGCATGCTACCTCAAAAACATGCAACATCTGTGGAATTGTTTTGTGTGATAAAAACTGCACATTTTATTGTAACCATGAAAGATGAGGGTAAAAACAAAAGTGTTGTGTTTATGTTTTTGTTCAGTACAGTTTGTTTTGTACATATCCGCACCAGCTTCTGAAGGGAGTTTAGTTGGACACCTCTGAAAAAAAGATTCTTGTCATATTTGAATATCTAAAACAAAACCTGAATATTAGATTTAGGAATATGGTTAGGTCATGAATTTGAGTGAGTTCTCATAATACATTTGATATGATATTTTAATATGTTTATCAGAGTTGTCTGCTACTCTGTGAAGCACTGTCCTGTCCTCAGATCACAGTAAACATGCATGCAGGGGTGTCTTCTCTGCCGCCTGCTTAATCAGCTGACCCCTGGATGAGTAGAAAAAGAATAGAATAGCCAAGGACTGACAAGAGCCCAACACACAGTCAGTTACAACAACTTGCCCTGAGGAACAAACAGAATGGTGTTTATTCTGATGTTTTGTTGCATCGGACGTGTGTTGGCTCCTGGGGGCTCAACAGTAAACATGATCTTAGAGTGAAGACAAGCCTGCTGAGACAACAGGCTCCCCGAGGTGAGCTGAGCAGCAGGAAACTGGTTTTTCAGGTTGATGGTATAGATCATAACATCATTCCCAGCTTCACTAGACGTTCTGCAGCAGACCGAGCTGTGATGGTGAGCAGAGAATTCTGTCTGTGTGTGTGTGTGTGTGTGTGTGTGTGTGTGTGTGTGTGTGTGTGTGTGTGTGTGTGTGTGTGTGTGTGCGCGTGCCTCAGTTGTCAGCCTTTGCCAGGTCTTGCCTCTGGTAAGGAAGACATGGTCGGCCAATCAGAACATGAGAAATGAATGGCTGGCTGCTGCTCTCCCCTCCCCCATTACTACACATCTCCCTGAGTAGATATCCACTCCCCTCCCTACACACACACACACACACAAACATGCTACACACACTTGCATCCAAACACACACACACATGAAATTCCCATCCCCCCATCTCTCTACATCTCAGCTGAGACTCCAGTAGAGTAAAAATAAAAATGGTTTGAGTCATGGGCTCAAAAGGCAACACACAGTACATATATTTATTGATGTACACTTACACACTTGAAGCTGAGGCATTTGTGGGTCTTTGGGGAATTCAGTGTATAATTTGTTAAATAGTTAAGGCCACTACTTTGACATATTGTAACTCATGCTGGAGGCTGGACAGTTTTTTTTCTGCTGTGGAGACTTTATAACTGCATTCAAAGTGTCAGTGTTCAGGATTGACAACTGACAATAGTCACAAGTAGGGCTGCAACTACCTATTGTTTTCATTATCAATGAATGTGCTGATTGGTTTTTTGATTAATCAATCAATTATTTAGTTTATGAAATGTCAGAAAACAGCATATTTAAAAAAAAAAAAATCACATTACTGTTTTTCATCGCTCTCCAAACAGCCCCAAACCCAAAACAATTAAATTTACAATTAGAGAAAATCATAAAATTGTTCTATTTAAGATGATGGAAGCTGCAGTTTTTTTTTTTTGAGTAAATAAATGACTTTGAAAATGACTTAATTACCAACATATTAACTATTAATACATTGATACCCTAATCATTTCAGCCATGTACAGATATTACTGTTGTGGGTCTGTTCCCTTAGTTTGACTACAATAGTATAAACAATACCACAAAAACCTCTGTAAAGAACAAAGATGGTGATTACCTTCTTCTACTCAGTCTTAAGTGCTTTGTAATTGCAACACAAATGTAATACACTGTGTAACAAAAAAGTCTATGAAAAGTTATGTGACTTTAGTTGAAACTTACAGTCTACATCAACAAAATCTTACCTGCGAGGAAATGATCATTCTGCAAACAAGATGTTTGATGATCTGAAAATTTCCACAGCTTCAACTATTACCAGAGCTCATAGTGAACACAAAGATGAGTAGGCCAAAGTGTTCATTATGAAACACCACTCAGTGCTGCCTACACTGGCATTTTATGGAGATGATGCTCTCATCCTGAGTGACCTGCAGCAGTGAGTGAACGTGCAGAACCAGATGCAAACTGCAGTTACAGAACATTATAAGGAAAGTAAAGGTCAGAGCTGCAGCACGCTAAAAATACATGTCATACAATATCCTTGTGACCTGAGACTGATCATGTGTGATTGAGTGAATAGATACATTGATTAGTCCAAGAAAAGCTAAGAAGTGTGTGTGTGTGTGTGTGTGTGTGTGTGTGTGTGTGTGTGTGTGTGTGTAGGTGTATGTAGTAAGGAAAACATACAGCTGAAGTACCTACACAGCTGTATGTGGTTCTTGCTTTTTTCTTATGTGTTCTGATATTGTGTATTTTTTGTATTATTGTGTATTTTATTGTTGTTCAATATTGCTTCTTATGACAAGGGAGGACAAAGAAAGATATGATAATAATATTAATATGTGATGATAATTAAACAACCCATACATTGTTCTACACAGAAAGACACACAATTCTTTTTAAGGAGGTAACGCTTATTGGCTTTCACGCTAATAAGACTAAGATGAGTGCATTAATACCTCTCTCATGTCTATATGCTAAATATGAAGCTTCAGCCAGCAGTGTGTTAGCTTAGCTTAGCATAACGACTGTAAACAGGGGGAAACAGCAAGCCTGGCTCTGTTCAAAGGTAACAAAATGAAAGACCAGATGTGGTTTCGGGGGGTTATGTGCTGGATTATTTCTTTGCCAGGAGCAGTAACTTCCTAAAGTCTTTGCCATTTGCTTGGGAACCTCATGGTGATGACGAGACTCCAGACATATGAATGCTAAGCTAAGCTAACAACTTACAGCTTCATATTTACTGTGAGTTTGTAAGTATCCATGTATATGTGTGTATGTAAGAGTGATATGAAGAAATAAAGCGTGTTATACTCATATATGAAGGACCTGAAGACAGTCAGTGGCTGTGCAGTAGATGTCAGTGTCAGTCTTTCGCTCTGCTGATCTCCACACTGACGGCAGAGTGATGCTGTTCAACCAGAAGCTGCTCGGCTCAGAGAGCGATGCTGGGTGTTGGGTATCAGAAGCACTGAGCTTTAATTCCCAGAGCATTCATCAGGACTTAGCACCGAAATTCAACCTCAACAGAGTCTGTGGCCAAGGAGAGAGAGCGAGGGAGGAAGAGACACTTTCTTGGCAAAGCTCACAGCGGAAACAAAGACAAGAGGAGGGGCTGATGAAGTGTCAACTACTGGCAGATTTTAAAACCACCAGAGGCCTTTTAATACGCTGGCTTTACTGGAACATGTGGGCATAATGTGTCAGTCTGACATGTTGAATGTAATGCCTGATCCTCAGTGTGTGTGTGTGTGTGTGTGTGTGTGTGTGTGTGTGTGTGTGTGTGTGTGTGTGTGTGTGTGTGTGTGTGTGTGTGTGTGCGCGTGTTTGTCGCTATCTCATCTTTCTGCTGCGGTTTTCTGAAATCATGGCAGGAAACTTAGTTGTCACAGTCTTGTGACATTTGCAGGTTTTAAACATCAGAATGAAAGTCTGAATTCAGGATAGACGTTTGGTGTACAGGAGTCTAAAGATTAAAGAGGAACGTGTGCTGTAAACTTTAAAATAAAAGGGTACAAAAATAATTCAGTAAGTCTGGATTTGGCTGGAATTCTGCACCCTGCAGATAGTCTTTTATCATTTTACAAGCCAAATTCATTAACTGAAAACAAGAAATCAATGGTGTGCTATCTGCCAAAGTGGCTGGTATAATTAACTGAAACCTTTTCAGAAAGAGAGTGCATTCCAGACTCACAGCATGGGGAACTTAGTCATTTTATGTGGTTAGATTTTACTACGCTGTCTTAAATGCATTTGCTGATGCATCAAAACTGCAAGTGCAGAGCAAAATGTTGTATTACTTTCTGCTCTGCAGTGGTCCGCAGCTCTGCAACACCTGTGTGGGCTGTAGTTTTTTCCTAGCATAGATAAACTTACCAATTACATTGAATCAATCTACACAAAGCTGTTTTCAGCTTTACTCTCTTCTAGAAAGTGCTGTGATCTTTAAAAGTGTTCACCAATGCACATTAGAGAACTTCCTAGAGAACTCTGATCAGATTTCTGGACCTTAACTACCTGCTGTATTATACTATTTATATGCGTTTTAATTATTAACCTTGTGGTTAGAATAAGATTTTTGTCTTTAAATGTTTTTGTTTTTTTAAACGAGGTTTTTGCAGAATGTCTGTAGTGTTTGTGTCTCTGACTTGTGTGAGAAGTAAGGAAAAAGCACAGAACACTTGAATTCACTTTAGTAACACAAAGTTTCAGTCTTCAAACCTTCATCAGGCAAGATTCATACTGATAAACAGAACCATGAAAACAGCACCATACATATAAAGGCTATAGACTTTAATCTGGAAAATAAATGCTAGTTAGAGGACGTCAGCAGCATCTCCTTATATACATAAAAGTTAAGGTCAATAAGCTCCGTAAATACAATAACAACGATACTGAGCTCTTACAAATGTAATAAATGTGCCAATATTATAGAATATCGGTTCACGGTTTATATTTGCAAGAATACACTGCAAGAAAAAACTATTACCAGAGAACATATAACAAGAAATAATGTAAGAAAAATAGTACAAGAAGAAATGTAAATATACAGAGTTGTGTCAAGAAGAGAATCGTATCAGAACCTGAGAACCTGAAACGTACAGAACCCTTAGTACGTACTAATGATGAAGGCTCTGCACCACTAATATCAGCCGGCCATTCAGGACAGCATTCAACATTTTGGCCAACATTTTAGCAAATTTTTTGACAGCCTTATGTAGTTATCTATGACATCACACTGAGGGGAAAGTCATCATCAATGCGTCAGTATTTGTAGTTTATATAATTACAAAAACAAAAGGGTTCTTTTTAAGAATATCTGAAGACACTAAAAGTCTATCCACAACCTAACCTGTCAGAGGTCACTGTGTGGAGTTCATAAAGGTGTCCCTCAAACTGCTGCCTCCATCTTTTCCAGGACACGGCGGGTCAGGAGCGTTACCGCACCATCACCACGGCTTACTACCGAGGCGCCATGGGCTTCATCCTCATGTATGACATTACCAACGAGGAGTCCTTCAATGCCGTCCAGGACTGGTAAGTGACTGACTGGGAGGTTTGTCACATGACAAATGACACCATGGAGCATCTTCCTGTTAGAGGGAGCGTTGTGTGGTGTCTAGATAACCAGCACCAGTCTGGAAATCGATGTGGAGATAACTGAGGATTGATGTAGAGAGTAGATGATCCGGTTCAAGTTTCAGTGTGTTTTGTTTTAATGGTCCACTGCATCCATGTCCTCTGTGTCATCTGTGTCTGCAGGAGAACTGGATGCTGCAGGGATCTTTTATCTTTTTTGTCTCCTGACAGGACTTTAGCTCACTCCTTTACCTTGTGTTTTCTGTGCACTGTAACTGGAAAAGCACCTTTAAATTAGACAAAATCCACCCAACCAATGTGATCCAGATTTCGGCTTAAAAAAAGCCACTTAACTTCATAATTCATACCTCAGGACAGTTTCAGCGGCAGTGTGCGATCACAGCCTCTCAGTTTCCTCTCTGACAGCTGGGTGTGTTGGTTCCCAGGTCGACTCAGATTAAGACGTACTCATGGGACAACGCCCAGGTGCTGCTGGTAGGAAATAAGTGTGACATGGAGGACGAGCGAGTGGTGAGCGGAGACAGAGGCCGGCAGCTGTCTGAGCACCTCGGTGAGTTCATGGTGTGCACACACACACTGTACAAACACTGTACAAACACTTCATATCTGTGACTCACAGTTCTGCACTGTTACCAGAGTTTGCGAGAGGACTTCTCTGAAGTTTTATTCCTATTATTCTGAGTGTTAGTTGGTTGATTCAATAAATACAATACATTAAATTATTGATCATTTCAATTATAATTGAACATATTTACATTCTTTAAAACGTTTTGAGATCTAGATTTTGTCATTTACCCAAAACTTCACAGGAAATTTTGCAAGAACTTTTGTTTTCACACATTTTGACTTGATGGTCCTGATTATTCTAACCTGTCAAATACCAGCCTGAAGAGTGTTCTTCACAAGGCTTCAAATGACAGTTTAAGGTTTTACATTGACTCACATTATCTGACTATTTTTTGGCCGAGCACAGTGTTTGTTGTTGCCAGGCAACCTCACAAGGACAACACAAGACAAGAAGTGCTGGAGGTAACTAAAGGTTACAGCAGGTACCTCACTCTAAAACCACAAACTGCTGTTTTTCCATTTCTATGGATGGATTAAACAAATTATATCTAACATGTTAATTACTGAGCTGGTCAGAGGATTTTCTTACCTTTGGACGGAGCCAGACAGTCTTTATGCTAAGCTAAGCTAATCGCCTGCTGATTCCAGCCTTGAACAGACACGAGATTGATAATGATTTTTCTCAACTGACTCTCTGCAAGGAAGCAAGTACACTTATTTCCCACAGTTTCAAACTATTCAATATGCTATGTTGGCTTTACGCTGTATAACATCTCCTAATATTTTGACTTGGGAACATTCACACTCACACTAACTCACACTTACTCACACCAGATAAAGTGAAAGTGGCTATGTTTATCATTGTACCTATATGAACCAGTTGGTTAACAAGTGAAACAATGGACAGGTGGAAACTGTCCTGTTAGATCAGTCAGGGGATCACCAAAGTCATTACACCCAACCTTTTAGGAACCAGGACTTTATCAAGATATTTTACTGTGGGTAATTTTAGGGGTTGCCAGACAGAACAGAAATTAAAATTGCCATCCCTATAGACACGCTACTACCATGGTTAAAATTGCATTTCACTAGATTTACTCTGTACTACATCTCCTCCACTAAACTACACAGTTCCACAGGGGACCACATCCTCATTAAACCTCTCTTACCCTCTCTCTCATACGCTATTTCCCCTCCAGGTTTTGAGTTCTTTGAGGCCAGCGCCAAGGACAACATCAATGTGAAGCAGACCTTCGAGCGCCTGGTCGACATCATCTGCGAAAAGATGTCTGAGAGCCTGGATGCCGGAGATCCTGCCGTCACAGGAGCCAAACAAGGGCCCCAGCTGACAGAGCAGCCCGCTCCACCTCACCAGGACTGTGCATGTTAAAGCTGACTACTCCCCCAAAACCCTTTCCCTCCCTCTTCCTCCTTCTTCTCCTTCAGCTGGACCCCAGGGCCTCGGTTCCATACTCCATCACCCTTTTCACTTACTTTCCTGCTTCTTTGTGTAACCTGGTAAGGATCATTGGCAGATGGTCACAAGAACCAGGCTGTAAAGTGTCTGAAATGCTTTGAGATTCTAGTGGACCAGTGCTTGAGTTGTCTTTGCTTCTGGTTCCTCCGCATACAGGAGCTAAAATGTGTTCATTTTTTTGGATCAGTGCAGGTGTTGGTCTGATGCCAAAGCAAGTTCAGTTAAACCGAAGTGTTTCAGACTCTTGCAGCCCGTGTTCTTTAAGTTTCCCGACCCATTTTCTGTTGTCTCCCCCGTTCCTCAGTGTGGTTTTACAAGAAGGATTTGACGGCGTCCATCCTCAGAGTGCCATTTAAATCCTTCCGATGTTTACAGTACTTTGTTTCATGTCGGTCAAATGTTTTTGAAAAGATATCAGCCTTGGATTTGGTGACCGAGAAGGTCACGGTGGAGTTACCTGTAAGGGGGAGGGATGATTCAGCTGAAAGCTGCTCCATACCGATGTGTTATGTTTCTTATGTGATTCTGGATACAGATGCAGAATCAAACATACATGGATCTGTGTTTCTGTGTCGTCTCACCTGCTGCAGGTATTAGACAGAGTTTTGTTCATTATTCATCTTAGCCTTTTCATTTGGCCTTTTTTTACACTTTCTTCAGCAGACTTTTTTTTTGTATTCTGGTGCCCCATTTATTCTTTTCATACATGAAACACTGGGTGGGGGAAAATATGAACAAGACATAGCTAGGAAAAAAATAGTAAAAAATGAAGAGACACATTTTATTTAATTATATTTATTTCAAATGTACATATAAATGTTGTGCAATATATATAATATCTACAGGTATGCATTTCTGGAAATTAATTTTAAAAAGTATGAACTTCTATGAGGATAGTATCAAATATAAAAAAAGGTCTATGCTGTAGGGTTTGTTTGAAAGATGTGTGGAATTGTTTGCAACTGTTGCAGCTCCTCCGTGAGTCGCGTCATTTCCCTGTTGGTTAGGAAATTCAAACTTCCTGCTGAGAAAAACGCAGTGCAAAGAGCGTGAAGTACAAGTCAGAAATTTAGTAACATGTTTATCATCCTCCAAATCCACTCAGTGTAATTTCCAGACCTGCTGCTGCTGATGACGTGTAACATCTGAACAAAGCTCTAATGTCAGAGGCAGGAGCAGGCTGGAGAAACTTTGTGCTGCCTCATTAATGTAGTTTTGAGTCAGACACAGTGAAACTGACATCAGGAGTTCTGAGTCTTCTGAAAGCTCAATAAGATTGTAATTATAGTGGCAAATGTTTTGATGCTTCTAGTCCAGACAGCCTTAAGATGTTATTGTTCTTGCTGTCACTGACAAACAGTATAAAAATCTAAGGACATATGAAAAGCATCTTGTGCAACACCATTCAGTTGTACTTGCTAACAATGTTACATATTGATATGACAGTATTTTATGTCAGGCAAAGAAAATCCTGCGCGCCTCTGTTGTTTTCTGACCAGGACCATTGCAGAGCATGAAGGCTGAAATTATATAATTATTCAACACTTGAACGCAGCAAACTTTTTGTATCCCCCTCCCTGATACTACTTTATCTTTATCAAATTTCCCTGTAACAATTATCATTCAGACATTTCAATGTTTTCTAAAACATGTTGAAATGGGTTCGGAGGATGCAAACAATGTTGTTTTGTTCGATGATTTTTTAAAAATTTTTTTATGGTATTTTGCCTTTAAAGTGATAGTTTGACCCCAGGGAGTGAAAGGAAACATCAAGAGAGAATAAGTTGATATGTGATTAAGATCAACAACTAGGCCAGAGCTGAGTTTGTAGCTGTTACGTGGCACAAATATTAGACCATTAGGCCACTATGATGTGCAGGCTTGGTTTCAACATCATTGAAACTAGCACAACATTTGCAGACCAGAATCACTCAGCAGCAGTCATTGTACAAGAACTTGTCTGGCTGGTGTTTGAGATTTGAAGACCTCAGAGAGCAAAGATTGTAATGACACGTGGTACAAGACAGTAAGATTCACGACAGGGAAAACAGACATATGTAGCATGCACTGCATATTTCCGTCTAAATCCAAAATGACAGTCAGGCAAGATTTCATCTGTTTTTCATCTTTTTAGATTTTAAAACTAGTTTGCACTGAGAGGATTCAGGCCTTTACTGGCCGTTACTGTATGTTTGAAGCTTCGAGTATCACTTGTGTTTACTTGCATTTTTTTTGAGATACTGAGAGACATCATCTTATGTCTGGACATAGGTTAACATGTGTCAAATTACACACCAACTCTTATTGCTTCTCTGCTTATTAACAAACACCGCTCATAGTAAGACGTCTTCAGAATCAGTATTACAGAGCAGCTTTGTTAGATGCTCCTGGCTTCATGTGTGGACCTCAGTTGATTTGTCTGTTTGTGTGTAATGTTATCTCCAATGCTTAGTCTTCAGGTAAAATATTATGGACACTACTGTTTAAAGTCAAAGAAGCATCAAACAGCTAGAGGCTGATTGTTCACAGACCAGGCAGCTGTTGAGTTTCTGACACTTGTTTCGAGTCAATGCAGGCGTTAAATATTCTGTTCTGAGGTTTACTGTGTTACCACAACGCAATGTTGTTAAGAGCTGTTTTTAAAGTCAGCATAGCATTATTCACTCTTGACATGCATCACCCCTCAGAAAAACTGACATAAGAGTATTTGTACACTTGTTTTAATACAGTTTCCACAGTTAAAACTGGATTGCCAGGTATTCCTTCATTTCACTTCACCAAAGATTGCTGTAGAAGCAGCTTCCTGTTTTTGCTGTAGGATACCAGAATGAGCAGTGAGACCAGTTTTATAAGTTTAAATTTGTAATAAAACAAGTGATGCTTGGTGGACCGAAAGGAACTCTGGTCATTAAAAAATAATTTTCTGCCGTTGTTATTCAAGGCTTGCCAGTGTGCAGTACAATCTTGAATTTTGAAATGCTGTTATTCCCAATAAAAATATTGATAAGATGACGTCACCTATGGATTGAGAGGGCAAAGCACTATAAAAATGACTATGGTGGTCAAAGTCATGGACTTCATGAAGTCAAGCAAATCTGAATCAGAAGTCTTTATTTTGAGAGTAACTGCTGCATTACTTAAGCGTCCGGTGGAACATACAATAAACCTGAAATCACCGGTGAGCCACTGGCTATTAAAGTTTGAGAAGATGAGGCCCCAGTCATAGTAGTGATGCTGTTATCAGAAACGAAGTGATGACTTGGTTAGAAATTATCACAACAAACCCGGGAGACGATTTTGATCCTGCATATATTTTACTGGTTGTGACTGTTTCTTTTCTGGTAAAATCCAAACTTTTAAACTGTTCTCCTTTCTAATATGTCTTCCTCTCTATATAAACCAGATCTGTAAATATTGTTACCTTGGAGTCATATGTGTGGATTGTGTTGTATCGACTCAGGCTTGCAACAACAACAAAAGAGAAAAAAAAAAAGAGTGAAAAAAAAAAAAACGACAGTAAAAACCTGAAAACCCCAAAAGAGCCATGTTGTACTGTATCTGCATTCATTTCTAAGGCCAGCTTGTGAATGAATGTGTCACTCAGTTACAAAGCAATACACACTACAGTATCTACACAAAAAGAAATGCCATCAAGCTTGGTAGAGGTTGCCGACTTTAGATCTTCTACTAGCACGCAGAAACATGCAACTTTATTTGGTCTCGTATCACTGCCTCTTCAAATCCTCCTCGGTTTGGGCCATTAAGGTGAGAGAATATGCTGTGGATGTTTTTATCTGTACTTTGTGGTAAAACAATAAAAAAAAAAAGTTGCTAACAATCAGATGACTCTTGTTTTTGAAGATTTTGTACCTTTGGGAGTGAGAAGGGAACAGTTACCTGCACTTCTAATGAGGAGTAACATCCTTAAGTGGCTGGGTGTATGTTATTATATTTCTTTTCTTTTTTTTTTAACACAAAGTATAGTTGAGATCCAGTTTCATTCAAATGTTTTGGAGTTATGGCGGCTCAGTCATCTGTGTTTTGCAGTAAAATTGTTGTTCTGGTGGGAAATGTTCAGATGCTACTGGTCCACACCGCCTCAAGATGTTTCCCTTTTCACTGGCAGAGAATGTAAAACAGTTAAAGGTAATCTCAAATATGTTAGGCCACCCTGTTTAATAACGCAAAAGTTATTAAACAGGGACTTGCAAATCTTACTTCCCTAGTCAATTTTAATTTCTCTAATGTAAGTGAAGTGTGAGTGAAAAATAACCGTTTTTTTGTTTCTATCCAGATAACAGTAACATGAAAGGTCAAATACTAAATAATCTGTTCTTGATACTTGCTGATTATAGGGAAGACAGATAGATATGGTGACAGTTACTATAGTTCATGCTATGCCTCACATCAAATCAACTAACCAGGTGACTGAAAGCTTGTTTTGTGTCTTGTTTGTTAAATTTGATTATGCCCAACAAATAATTATCACATCAGAGAAGATATGATGTGAGTGACGGAGCGGGAAATAAGACAGACAAGTGATCCTGGGCCGTAAGATTGTGGTATCACTGATTGTTAGTGATGTTTTGTCAAATCCCATCTATTCACCCCTCAGTGACTAAAGGCTAAATGCTACCTGCAGCATGCCTGCTGTATTTATCTCTGCCATGTTGGATTTTTACTCAGAGGTCAACATGCCCAAAGCTACATTTCTATTTCTGCATGTGGACTCAGCAGAAAGATTAAATGTTTATCATATCTCAGTCACATGGCTCTCAGGAGGAGGGTGATGGGTGAGCCAAAAAGTTGTACAAATATTTCCACTTTTGAAATTACAGGCTTCCTTTCCTCCACAGTGGTTCTCTAATATCTCTGGGCATTTAGTGTTACCCATTGATTTTATTCTTATTTGGATAAATAAATAAAAACTAATAAATACTCTCAAAGGCAGGGTGAGCCATACCTGTTCAGAGGGAAAATTATGGGATATACTGTATTGAATAAGCAAGTGGCACAAAAATGTAAGTCTTACTTTAATCTAAAAATGTATAATTATTAAACTTTGATTTAGCATATTTGAACCTCCTGCTCATAATAGCTGGACAACACTGACTGACTAATATCAATGAAAGGCCTATCACCAATACTTTCATCTAACTCTGATCTTGAAGACCCATACAGACAGAGATGTGCCCTGGATAGTGGACTCAGAAAATAGTGGTCATTTGATAATCTTGATAATAATAATGTTGCAGGGAACCCAATCAAGTCAGATTTAATGCTCTCAGTTGAGGAATGAATAAAACTCACATCTGTACACCTCTGTCATACTTATACATCTTCACGACACACTGAATTCTAGACGACTGAAGTCTAGCTATTCCTAATTTTGCAGCAGACACCCCAGAGACTTTTCAAGGACCTTCAGGGGGGCTACTACCCCCCCCCCCCCCCTTTTTTTGATCAAAAAGTGCACTATTCTCAAAAATGGCCTTTATACCATTGGTGCATCAGGATTTTTTTTTTTTTGAATTTCCTATTTAACCAGCAGAGGGAGATAGACACCATGGTGATCCATGATGGAGGGAGCAGAAACCATGCATCCAAAATCCAGTTATTACACAACACTGATTTCACTAATTCAGTCTCCATCAGAGGAAGTTATAACCTGCAATATATTTTCTTACTGTCTCGATGTTGTTATACTTGAACGTACTATTCTTGAGACTTATGAAAGACAAAACTTAACATAGTATAGTGGGCTATATCTAGAATTTGACAAATTCCTATGCACCTCCAACATCTTGTTTACTGCAGCACACACCGACTTCATCAACATGAATGTAAATACCAGAGATTCACCAAAATAGAGGAAACAGTGTTTATTGCCGAGCAGCATTTAATTCAGAACACATCGGCATGAAGCCAAATAACTGTAGGCTAGAGGTGACAGCAACAGTCGGTGCAACAAAAAGGTTACGACTTTTCACATTTAAAATGAGGACACACGGAAATAGGACACAGTAGAGTAAAAAATATATAATTACAAGTGTTTGTAAAGGTTGAAGATAATAAACACTGATTAATTGCGCCCTGTGACACCCAGCTGTGGGCAACATTCGAGTTTGTCAACAACATGCAAATTGTTCCCTACAGAAATACGTGGTAAATAGGTTATATATATGTAGATTATCTCTTACATATCAAATGTAGGTGTATGCATTTTTCTTACAGCCAATCCCTCATGTGTTCCATGTGTTAAGGATATCTATGTCACAAATGTGCATATTCTCCTATAAATATTTTTAATCTGTTTGGTCCAGGTATGAGACTGTAAGACACAGTCAGTCTGTAAACATTTTTACAAGAAAAAATATCGACATGTGCCGTCTGTAGACCCAATTGAATTGAGTATACAGCCCCCCGATAAGTGCCTCTTTTCCCCCATCGGAGAAGACTATGGCCAAAATCCATAGAAAGAAATAGCAGTTTAAAGCTGCCTTGTTCATCAGTAAACATAGATACGAGGTAGAGCAGGATTTTATACATTGAGCATATCAAAGGAAAACGCTCTTTATTTCGGCGTAAATCCCATAAACCAATAAGCAAATTGCTCATTTAAATATGCAATGCTTATACTGATTTGTTTTCTCCACCGAGCGGAGGCGTGGAGTCATTGGGGATTCTGGAAATTGCTTAAGGAATAAAACTTGTCCAAATTAGCTGCCAATTATAGCGGAAGAGTCTCATCAATTATTATCTTATATTATGTTCTACCGCGTATGTTTACATTTTGCCAATGTTCAAAGCATTTTAAAACCGCCTATTAATGTAAAATTTGGCCTATGTGGCCTGGCGTTCATTCCACCAAGAACAGCACATATCTGGGCAACGCTACATACAGATAAAACAACATTAACAAAGTCCATGAAGCTTATATCCTGGTCAGTAGCCCAACTGCAGGTCTGTCCCTCTGGCTAGTGCACTTGAACTTCGTGTGGCAGCAGCTGGCAGCCGCTGTTAACATGGGTGAGGACTTTCTGTTTCAGCTGGGCCACTTGCTCTCTTAGCAGGCTAGCCGTCGAAGCCAGGTCGGTGTTTTGACTTTTCAGCGTTTTGACCTTGTCCTCCAGCCTGGAGATCCGCTCCAGTTTGCGCCTCCGACACTTTGAAGCTGCAATCCTGTTCCTGAGCCTCTTCCTCTCGGCTTTGATGCGCTCCTGTGTGTCCATGTCGATGGGGGACAGTGGCGGGCTCTCCCCGAAGCTCTGAACGTCGGGGACCGTCTGAGGCTCCTCCTTCAGCGGCTGGACCCGAGAGAGCTCTGACTGCGGCGGGGCTGCCCCCAAATGATGTGACGGAGGAGGCGGGAAAGGGACTGTGTCCGTAGAGTAGTTGACAGTGGTTCCCAATGGCCCGGTGCCGTAACTGTTCAGGTTCGTATATACCGGTAGATCCGGTTGGACGGTGACCGGGGCGATGTTGGCGCCCAGATCCAGGGTGCCGTTCGCCTGCCCGTCTCCGTTCAGCTGGTTCTGCTTGTGCAAGTCCTCCAACGCCTTCACGAAGCCCTCGGCGAACTCCTGCTCATCCGTTACCGTCTTCGGGTAGAGGAACTGGGAGCTGGTCGGTGTCGTGGTGACCATGCCGTTGGACTGGATGATCAGCCTCTCCAGCTCCGGAGAGGCCAGTTTGAGCAGCCCCAGGTCCGGGGAGCTGAGGATGCTCTCAGCATCGCGGAGATGCGGTTTGAGGTCTGCGTCCTCCGCCAGGCTCAAGTTAATATCCTTCTTCATCATTATTTCCGTGGGTAAAATGACAAAGTCGTACTGCTCGGCACTCCCTCAGAGCGGTGCCTTGCCCATAACCTCACAGAAATAAACCGTAGCGTAAAATATTTTGTATCAAATTAATATTTTTAATACTTAATATTTTGAAACCGTTGGCAGTCGTCTGCTCTCGAGTGGAATCTGAGTGTACTGTACGCCCGCGCGCACCGCCTCGAGCTTTTCTAGGCTCGCACGTTCCATTATGTCACATCAGAGCGCGCGCATTGGGCAGAAATTACGTTTTCCAGACTTTTATTTGAATAAAGGGACGAACCGACCAGAGAGGAGGAGACAGGAGGGAGGTCTCACTCTGCGTCTCATTCTGGTGTCCGGCTACAGTCCTAAAAACAGTGCCCATGGATAATAATGTGATTTGTATCATTTGTATTAAAATGAGCTCACCCAATACACCCATGGCAGTGTTTGTTTGGCAAGGCAAGTTTATTTATATAGCATATTTTATACACAGACAAATTCAATATGCTTTACATAATGCTAAATAATATAATTACAAAAATAACAAGACTAAAATAAGCAAGGAGAAGAAATACATCAATTTAGATAATCAGTAAAGGAGCATCAAAAAGACAACTTAAATTATAAAAAAAAGTTTGAAATGCAGCTCTTAAATTTACACTTATTTCAGCTATTAGACCTCCACTCCTGTAGAACTGGGTTGGAGCTACGCTAGTAATAAGGTTACCAAACTTTCTAAACTGAGAGTCATTAAGGTGTAAGTTGTCCCTCCATGCTTTGTCTAACAGGGCTAAAGGAGTGAGGTATATGTCAGCCAGCCACAGTCTGTAGTGTCAGTAGGGAGCCCATGGTGTTATTATTATTATTTTTTTAGGAAGACCACAAATGACCAGCCCAAATCTTTTCAAACTGACTGAAAGTTGGTTTTTGTAGGTTTTTCCCAAAACATTGCAGCCATTGCCTCTCAATTTGTTTAAGTCTCTGAAAGATAATGCACTGTGATGTTAACAGGGAATACAATATATGAACTTCAATCATGCTCAATTATACTTATGGTTATAGGCTAGTTATACAGTAATTCTCTGTAACAACTGAGCAAACTCCATCTGTTTACAAAGACCATGATATATGGTTGAAAGCTCTGGGAAGTAAATATATTTGTACCTTGTGTTAAGATTTTTCAAGGACATGAGTGACCCTTCACTTTGTACCAAGTTATTCATTTCCTTTATAGATGATCTTTGGTACCAGTTCTATTGCCATGGAGATGAGGGATAAACTACAAACACTGATGTTGTACATTGAGGTTTATTGTGAAAGGAAGTATTGACTGGTACATGTCCTTTTCATTTTCAAACTAATAATGTTCAGCACTATAGAATCCACATTTTTCACCAGTTTGTAATTTCTTATATTTAATGTAAGAAGGATAATTGTAGGCTATAATTGTGGGCATCAGCAGTTGTGATTTGTGTGGTCAAGAATGTCTTCTCAGAAAAAGTTGTGCTCACTTCTGTTTTATGCCCTTAGCCAAGACACTGTCCCCTGCATTTCTGCACATCCAAATTTGAAGAAGTTGAATCTGAAACTTATGTGATTTCAACACTTCCTCTGGTCAGTTAACAGTTTCAGGTTGTTTTTGAGTTGGATCTGGTCTCACATGCGACACACCCATTTAATGAAACACATGATAATTGTAATTTGTGAATTTCCACTCAAGAATATCCATTTCCCTTTACAGATTTTCCTATTTCAGTTTTCATTTTTTAAATTGACATAATTTTCAATGCCAGTATTTTCTGTTTTTAACAATACAGCCTGATTAAGAAGATTTAAAAAATATACATATTACCACCATCTCTTTTAAGTGAATTTCTTTGTAAGTGAATTTTTTCTCCGTGTCTCTGAGGGATTAATGAGGTGGAAATCTTCAGTGTAATTTTGGTTGGCATTTCACATAATGGAAGCACTGTTTGTCAGTGGTTGGTACATTTTGTTAGGATTTTCCAGGCTAACCCTCCTGCCATGGTCACATTTTATGTGTTTGACTTGTGCTCCTATAATTTTAACACACTTTTATACACATGTAAAATGACCATTGTGTACTACCACACAATGTGTTGTGATGTTTTATCAGTTATTCATCAATGACACAACAAGCTGTAGTGAAAAGTGATAAATTGTTTCTTTACTGTGTTTGGTTTCCTCCCATTTCATATGTTGTTTGTTTTTGTCCAAAACTATGCATGCACAGAGCAGTCAGTCACTCAACAATACATTTATTTAGCTAAGAATGTAATAATCAATAAATTTATAATGGGATAATGGTCCTTGTTTTCTTCATTATCAGTCCTCTGGCTTGTAAAGGGTTACAGAGAAGGAGGCATGTGCGTCACAGGTAGGTCCTATCCATCAGTGCGGGTGGATCACATGATGGACCCTGTGATGTCAGATCTCTTAATGCTGAGGCGGAAATGGAGGTGGGGGGAAGTAAACCAACAGAGGAGAGATATTTTTGTCTAAAAGCCGAGTATCGGTGTAAAGAGAGTGGGGGTGCTGAGCCTGCACTCGAGAAAAAAAAGGCTGGCAGTAACTGGAAAAGGATGTACCACTCTCTCACACACACTCTTTCATTTCCCTTTACCTTTCTTTCTTTTTTTTTAAACAAACCAATAAAAACTGTGAGCAATATACTTTTGCAAAGAGTTAAATGTGTCTGGATACTGAAGGTTTGGGCCTTATAATAATTGTTCATAAATGTTGATGAATTTGTAATTATATATACAGTATATATATATACATATATATATGTGTATATATATATGTATATATAATACATATTGTAACCATGACGACGAAGGTCCTCTAACCTTAAGATAGTACTAATTTTAACCCAAACCACTACCTTTTCGTAGACCTGACCAAGTAGTTTTTGTGCCTAAACCTAACCAAACCATGACCATTCCACAGCCTAAACCATATGTTTATTATTGTTATCATGGCGATGATACGCTCCTTCTGGTAATATCCAAGGATGGGGACAAGCAACCTATATGGTGGTTAAGGTTGGAGGACTTGTTGGAATGAAGATGTAGATTGATGATGTAGATTGTTCTGGATAAAGACACTTGTTACAGCGTGTCATGAATACGAGTCAACATGAGTTGAGGAGTAAACTCAGGCCTCCAGCAATAATTTTCTTCAGTGACCATGGGTTAGGGCTGCAAGTCAAGGCACAAACTGATGGGTTGTCAGGAATGCTTGGCATCAGTTGGAATGGTTCAGCTTCGGTTGTGCCAGAGAACAAGAGAGATCAGGACAGTTCTGTACTGTATTGGGCAACGTGTGATTGATGAGTGGTTTGTACTTAAAACACTATGTGTGATTCATGGAGAGGAGCAGAGTAAATAAAAGCCTTTTATGGGTATTAATAGAAATGAGAATCCATTTTCTGCCTGCAGAGAGAAACTTAAAGGGTTGGCTTGTTTCCACCACCATTTTCTATGAATTTCTTGTGAATTCACTGTGACATTTGAATACTAATGAAGCCCAACACAGACATGAGGTGTTTGGCAAGTGAACATGGAGGTAATTATATATTATTGTGTGAGCTTGCAAAACATTCTTTCAAAATAGTTAAATAATGCAGGGTCTTGATCCTGGCCAACAGTGATACACTGCCTGAATGGCAGGTATGTGACTTTGTGTGGGCATGTGTGCTGAAAAATAAAACAGACGCCAAGCAAAACTTAGATCTCATTTCCTTCCTTCCATCTGTAGCCTATGATGATTCTGTGCTCAGATTTCTAGACTTTTGGCTGTAATGTTGATAATCGAGGAACCAAAGCTTGTGCTTCTCTCACAGCAAATATAAAGGATTCTATGTAAATTTAGAACAAAATTAAGCCAAAAATCCATCAGCATGGTCCAAACCAAGTGCTTGTCAAATAGTTGAACAAAGTCCCCCACACCATTATCGAAATTGAGGAGGGGCACGTCTGACAACTTTTGTAACTTTCTGAAACAAATCCAACATTCATGTCCACGTAACACAGCGACCGGCCAGGCGTGGGGAGTTGATGGATTTGATCTTCTCATTCTTCTCATTCTCATTTCTGTTGCACTTCATGTTTACAAACCAGTGAAACACTATAAATGCCTCAAGCGCTCAAAGTGTGCACTGTTATCCCTACCTGAACCATTGATGGCTGCTTTTTCACCTTGAAGCGTGGATGGACACTTTTGCGTTAAGTTACATTCATTGACTATAAATATATGAATAGCCACATTTTGATTGACAAAATAAAGATTAGATCATGAAATACCTAAATTGTTAAAAGTAAAAGGGTTCTGTGGTTCAGTGTGTACATATGGAGGGGCTTTTGAGTTTTTGCAACTATATATATATATATATATATATATATTTGTGTGAGCCCACTAGGCTACTCCACCTGCTCTGATGACGTAGTTTCACAGTGTAGGTGAAGTTCCACACTCATGGCGGATGTGGGAACCCCATGTACAAAGTGAGATTCAGTGTGTATCTTTGTGCATGTGCTGGTTTTGTACAAAACACACCTGCACCCACACAAATACACACTATACTTCAAATACGTAACCACAAACCTCACTGGGCCCACACCTTTTCATGGTTAGGCATTAGCTGGTGTAGAAAAACAGAAAAAAGCATCTGATATTGAATATTTTTTCCAGAGCATTTACTGTTACATTGGTGCATGCGCTATAGAGCAACATCACACCCTAATGTTTCCCCATATTTACATATTTATAGCCTGATGACTCATGTATAATAAGGTCATGACAAGATAGATTAAGTTTTCAGACCCCTTCACTTTTTTATGTTGTAGATTTAATTTTAAATGGATAAAATTTCCATTTTGCCCACCAATCTACACTCAATAATCCATAATGATGTAATTTATCTGTTTACTAAACCAACATTAAAAATATGGACCAGACTAAAACCTTTTCATGACAGTAGCAGCAGCAAATCTCTCTTATACTCAGGGCATGTCCTGTCTCGCGATTTTGTGCTGCCGGTCATTCCTGTGCTTGTCTCTCTCATGCGTCTTGCTGCTCTCTGTCTGGACACCTTCACTTTTCACCTTCCTGGTTGAAGAAGTATTAGGATTAGTCCTCTGAATTGAGAGTAAACATATCAAATGTGCAGCATA